TCCTTACTTAGTGGAATATCGAGTAAAATTACCTCTTGGTAATAAGAATTTAATCTGTAAGTAAATTTTATTAAGATAGAACAACAGTTATTGATATTTATTTTAGGTAATTGAGAGATAAAGTCTACCAAGAAATTGGAACAACCGGCCTTAAATGTATACTTGTATATCAAATATACAAAAAAAGTGTAAAAAAGCCAATGCTTGTGCAAATATATTCGAAACATAAATCACATTACGTATATTGACAAACGTTTCGATCTACATTAGGTTTTTTTCAGTGTCAATACGAAATAAATATTGCAAAATCCATTGGTCCAAAATCTATTGAGTCCATGGTTACAGGTGATAGATATAAAATATGAGTGAAAAAATATAGTGATCATTATTATTTTAACCATTGACTTTAGTATAATTTATTTCCACCATCTTTAACCATGGACTCAATAGAATATTTGCCATATTTATTTCGTATCAATACTAAAGAAGGCCTAATGTAGGTGGAACACGAAAAACAAGTATTAAGTGCCAATGCTCTTTTTGCCTTTTTTGCCCATTTTAAATTCATAATTTTTATTGGAGCCTTGATATTATAATTTTTATTTAAAAAAAATGTATTATACATGAGCTGCAAAATGACTTCCTTACAAATCGTCTGTCTTTCGTAGACTTTCACAATTTGTCACAGACTATAAACAAGACTATAACACTAAGAAGTATATAGATTAAGAGCATTTTCAATAAAAATTAATGTTTTAAAATTATTTTAAATTGAAAATTATACTCTAATAATAATCCATTTTTTTTTAAATTATTTCTTAATATGTTTTACGAGTATTTTTCGTAATTAATCTTCAAGATAAAATTAAAAATAAGTTCCATTTGCGATTAACCAAATAATATAATTTTTGTTCATTATTTGTTTCCTTTTTTAAATCGTTGCTCATCATATATAACTCGAAATATATTTTTAATCATTAATTATTCGAAAACTATCTAAACATCTGAATATTCTTTTTAATATTTTAAAAAAGAAAATTTATCATTAAAAGATAATGATCTGATGGAAACGCGGCAGCGTGTATGATCAGAAGTCTAGAGCGCATCTAATACGATCGTCTAATACGATCAATATTTCACGATTATAAAGTTCAGAGAGCCTTCGAGAACTTGACGATAACAAATGCGCGCGTAAGGTGTATTGTATATAATTTTTCCATCGTTTCCATCAATCTTATAATCGTCACATTTACATTTATCAAAATTAAAAAATCAGTTTCTTATTTCACACATCAAAGCGGTTCTTCCATGCGCAAAATATCTGCGTTCTGCGTCGGATGTACTACGAGCCTGCGCGTGATAAATTTCAAAAGGACTCGGGCTTGGCAGTAGGCGAAAATCCCTCAGTTCGTCACCGACCATCGTCCTATTAATATTGCATTTCAATAAAAACAACATCGTGAAATCGTGTGATAACAGCTATATAAAATCAGTGCTAATAGTGCGGAAGCAAATTTCAAACATTATATAGAGGAAAACAGGTACGCGCGTTGGTACAGAATATACATAATACGAAAACGGACGGATGTCTTTTTAACGATAAATTCTCTGAGCAATTTAAAGTCGATTTTTTCTTACAGTTAATGAATATGACGAAAAAGGTTACTAATTTTCAATATCGTATATTTTTTAACTAAATTTTAAATTTATTAATCTATTTAAAAATTATTGAAAAGTATGATTCTGTTGCTTATCTGTCTTTTTGCAGCTCAGAAAGACTCCGATTTATCATAATAAATGTAAATTTATACGATTTCAGTGTGAATAAATATATGTATTCGCATCTCTGGAATAATTTCGCGATAAAGCCAAAAACTGATTTTTCCCAGTGGGAGCAGATGCGATAAATATGCGATAAGTTACTATCACCAATAAAAATCACAGAGTCAGTGGAAACCTTCATATTTTTAGGTCTGGAAAAGCGAGAACAATGTTCTTTTTTATAGCCTTCATGTTACTTCAAAAATTTGAAAACTTTAGTGTCCAATAAATTGAAGAGAGCAGTAGAGAGTTTTATAAGAGCAAAACAGTATCTTCATTAATACTAAAAATAGCTTTTTTAGATTCTTACTTTTATTTATGACGCGCATACAAATACGGAATATACGGAATGTCACACAACTAATTTTAATTTAATAATAAGCAATTTGAATAATTTTAAATCAATTTTTCCTTAGCACAAATGTATGTCAAAGAAAGTAATCATTTATCGCATTTTTCCGATTTTCAATATCACATATCTCCGCAACAAAAACTTGAAATTAAAATTTTGTTAAAGTACACTAGAAATTAACTTAAGAATACGATTCTGTTGGTTATTTCTCTTACAACTTAATTCACAAAAAAATCTTCTTTTTCACACAATCGCTTAACACGCTTATCGTCTCATTATTTTCGTTGAAGAAAAATCGATTTCATACTGATCAGAGAATCTGTATTTAAAAGAACATCTGTTCATCTTAAAACAGTGTATAATATATACGTATTCCATATATGTGTTGTCTTTCATTATCCTATAAGAATATTAAGTTAAGATCGTTGAGAAAAGTAAATATCTTATGAGATATTCACGTCAAAAAATATCAACAAAATGCAAAATATATAAGAAAGTTCTAGTATAAAACGGTTAATCGAATTATAAAAGTTTAATCGAATTATTTAAAACATTTCTTGATATCAATTATAAGAATATGCAAATATGCAAATAAAAAAATAAGAGTTTTTATTTAAAAATTTAAAAGTGATCTTCATGTGATCTTCATGTGACTTTCACATGTGACTTTTTACCCTAAGGTCTATTATTATTGAAAGCACGGGTATAGTTTAAATTTGTTCCGCCCTAGTACTCAAATTTGTACCATTGTCACCGATTTATCCAAGTATGTGTCATTCTACAAAAAAAGTTTAGATTATCTAAAGAAATAGAAAATTGCTTCGAAGAATAGAAGCAGGATTTCTTTTGAAACTCAACAGCGATTGTCCAAAGATTTGATTATCGATATCGATGTCTCTGTATAACAAGCGTAGGACAGTGACATGAAGTATAAAAATAAACCTCTTCTCCTCACTGACTTTTCCTGCATTTGCTGTTTTCCACATATAGCAAATTGAGAAATCTCCTGAATCTGACGTGCGTCAATACCCCACACTATCCTCAGGGAATTCACCCCAAGGCCAAACATCAGTTTCGTTCCTTCTTAAAAATAAGCAAGTTCAGTTAGAAAAATTTCCTTCAAAAACACCCCCCTTTTTAAATATTTGAATGGACATTTAAGGTAAGACATCCTGTTATTCCCATTATTAGATTCGTGATCACATTATATTATCAAAAAAAATCAATTTACTTATATTTTTTTCAAATCAAACATCATTTCTTAAATAAATAATAGTTAAATATTTTAAAAAATATAAATGTGAAATAAAATTTTAAGCAAATCATAATAATGAATAAGTAATCATTCTGAATAATATTTTCAAATTTTGTTTTCTTATTTTTAATTAATGTATCTTGATTGTATATTTTATTTTCAAGATATATTTCATAGATTATCTACCCGCATAAAAAAAGAAATAAATAAATTTGAACGTTAACGTTTTGATAATTATTGATTGGTTGATTTGGCGTAAAACTCTCAGATAATAAACAAATTATTTGCAAGTACAAAAGTATATTGAATTTATTCAACATAACTCATCTTTAACTTGACAAACAAACCACATTTTTATCCTTTTCAAGAGAGTCGCTTTTGTGATCGTTCATATCCTGTCACTAAAACGGATGCACTCTAATTTCCATACTAAATTTTACATTTCAACTAGATGTATTCAAGTATTTGTCATTTAAATAAAAATCAAAAAATCTCCCTCAGCATACTTTACACAAAAATATGTAACAGTATTCTGTGTATATATATGCTATGTACAGGAAATATTTAAAAAAAATTAGAATATATAATAAAATACATTTCTTTGTCTTATTTTCAAAACAAAGAGTTTTATTTTCAATTGTAAATTACTCAAAAACTATTAAGCTGTATAGATATTTTCCATACAAAAATAATCGACTCTAAATTGATTGAATCAGTTATTAGAAGATAATATGAGAAGATAGAGATGAAATATCCTCAACCTGTAATAATTTCCAATATGATTGACGTGCTTCGCTTATATCAAGGGTACTCAATCAGTCGATTGCAATCCACCGGTCGACGTATTTTTTGATAGATCTTTACATTTTAATTTTTACTTTCTTTGATTTCATTGTAAAATTTATGTTTCTAATTTCATTATTTATTTTATTTCTAATAAATTCTTTATATTTTGATACTTGGGCCCTACGCACAATAGAGAAAATATTAGGAATAAGAACAAATATTAAACATTAGGAATAGAAAATTGGAATTATTTCATTTCAGAACAAGAAAATGGGATGTATTATTGTATTATGAATTAAAAATTAAGAATTAGGAATAACCAATATATTTCGTTCCTTTGTTTGAAGTAAAATAATTCCAAATTCTTCTTCCTAATATTTAATATTTATTTCTATTCCTAATATGTTCTCTATTGTGCGCAGGGCCTTAGTTTGTCTCTATTAATATGTTTAATAAATGTTAAAATCACATATCCTAAATTTATATTTAATATTATATTTTTTCCTCTGTACATGAATGAATTGCAAGATTGCTCTATTTAAAAAAAATAGCTTGCCCTAAAAGGTTGAGCAGTACTGGCTATACATTTTCGGAATATTCACTTCATAACATACTTTCTCTTTTTTATTGATATAACCCCACTAATTCAGCAAAAAAGTTTTATCATGCCTATTGCACGACATGTGAGGAATTTTATTCGTATGTAATTTTATTCATATGTATCCTACACACGTAGTGATCAAGAGAAAAAAAGCGAGGAAAAAAAAACGATAGATATTTCTCGCACGAACGATTTCACGTTCCTTTTCCTTCTTTACAATCTTTATACATTTTTTTTCCATTATACTTGCCGTAAGAACAAACATATTCTCATTTTCATGATAAATGAAACCATAATTTCATCAAAGGTTTACGAAAAGATTGACCCTTTTCCAGTCCATTGATTGTACGAAACGCACCGCACGTTTCAACGACGTCCCACGACATAGCTCACCCACTCAAGTAGAAAGTACAAAATACGAAAAGAAAACTTCGCCGTCTGCTGTTCGATTTCCAAGTGAGTCGGGGCATCAATCTTTTTTCATATGAGTCGTCGTATACAATATCGAGAAATATTGATATATATTTTAAGGACAGAGATATATTAATTGAGTGATCGGAGGAAAAAATGTAGAGATTCTGCTTTCAGAAAATTGATAGTGTACCCATTCTCAATTGGCAGGGATTAAGAGTATAAAAGAAAAATTAATCTAAAAGTTTTATTTTATCTCGCGCGCGCGAAAAGTAGTCGGAGATATAGACTTTTCGTATAAGACCAATGACTACTATCCCGCAGAACGAGAGAAAATCCGCGTGATTTCTGTCAAAGTATATGGCCGAGAAAGCTAAGTCTTAAATATCCCGCGGAAGAAAAAGCATAAATATCTGAGTGTAGATTCTTGGGATGTACAATATTAATCGAAGCATTTTATTTTACTTCTCCTAGCGTATATTTCAGTTTTGCCTAACCGCGAGATATTTTTACGTTTTCCTTTGTAAATCTCTTACAGGCATTTCTTACTAATAAAATAAAGATTTTATGACCTAAATATTTGAAATGTAAATGCATATAACGTAATTATTCATTGGTTTATTATTTTAAAAATAAAGTTAAAACGTTAAAGTTTAAAACATTTTTAAAATTTTTTATTGCAATATCGTAGACTAAAGAAAACCAAGTATTGAAATATTGTATTTTATATTTTCTCCATATTTTTTTATAGTTTTAAAAATAGAAACATAAAAATATGCAAAAAAATTTATTTGTATTCCATTCTCTCAAAAGTTGTAAAGATAACTGAAAAATTTATTTCGTTTTATCTTCCTTTAATTTCTTAAAATAATGACTCAAAAGCAATAAGCAATCAGCACGTGAATGTATTTCGGAAACGTCCTTTTTCGATCATTATATTGCGTGACATATCTAAGTAATTAGAGCCAACGGATGTGTGTGGGCGATAAATAAAACCACTAAAACGGAAATAATGTCGAAACCAATCAATCAAGATCTAGTGATTATCTGATTTGGGACATATCGGTCATCTGTTCTGTTTGCTGCAATTTTCTGCTTTCGACAAGCAAAAACGTCGATATTTGTACAAGCTATCGTAAAATGCGAGTTACTTTAATCCCCTATAGTTTGCTGTTCTATAAATATATGTTAAATTATGCGGAAATATATTCCTAATATTATCGAAATTTTTATAAATCTTGAAAAAAAGAGGAAAGCTAAAAGCAAATAGAAATTAATGGGAATATCAGTAAAAAAGTTTCCATACTTTAATACAACAAGATAACACATGTCATAATAATTGCTTTAAAAAAATAATTTTATAAAATATTTTGTAAAAAAAAACACTTTAAGTAATTTAAGAATTTTAACTATATAAGAATCGTAAATTTTCATCTACGAAAAGAATCTTTAAAATACAAAATAATATTGCCTACGTTCTATTAAATTAGTAAAAGTAACATTCGGACAATACAATGCTAACGTATATATTCCATTGTATCTTGAATTTAATTCTCTTACTAATTAGCAATTAATGCCGTTGATTGAATCGCTCCCCCGAGTGATAATGAAGACACGAGGAGGCTGAACAAAATGATTTTTGAAGTTAGCTGAAAGCATCGCGTAATGCTTATCTCAATTACGTATTACACATACGCATATTTTACTTGTCGATGAAATACGATCTATTGATTCCCTTCTTCACGCTAATATGCGTTACCCTCGTAAAAAGATTTATCATTCTTAAGACAAGTTACAATAACTAAATGGAACAAGTTGGAAGGGTGAAGATGTACGAGTTTATCTTAAGGCTCAATGACAAGAGAGACCAGTGAATTCTCCGCACAATTTAATATCATCAGCACTATGGTTTTTCATAAGAAATCTCTTCTTTGGGACATGTCAAAACAGTAAAATTTATGAGTCGAATAAATCTGAACATACAACAAAACCCACTGATACTCGTATATCCATTGTACTTAAATATCGAAATACGAATTTTGCAAATTTTATTTATATATCACGCTTCATATATCACGCATATCATAATGTATATTTTACCAGAAATGTGAAAATTCACGCGAGAATCGGTCGCACATGCAAAAAAATTTGACAAATAAAAAAATATTGCGCATTTTCTAAATCTCGACACAAAAAATAAATCTCAACACAAATATAATATTAATTAATCTATTTGATTCCGTTTAGTTAATCTGAAGTTTTGAAAATTATATTACACATGGATCAAAGATCGTAATTGAATTTAGAATTGAAGATTTCCAAATAAAGATAACAATACGTTACAAATAAGAGAATAAAAATGTGCAATTAGAGAGAAAAAAAGTGCAAAATACTGCGTTAGCTGTAGATTTTAAGTCGTTAAAGAAAAGAAAGATAACATTTGTGTTACTTCCATCCTGTTTTTAGAAACACTGCACAAACGTCCTAGTTTTTCTCTTCTCCAATTATCCTAGTTGCAAAGAAGATACGATCTTCGCATATACCTACGTACTATCTCTTTTATAACGTTTGGCTTTTTGTGGCCTACGATACATATGCCTTCCACTATGATCATCGAATATGGAACTTTTTCACACGAGCCCTTGATCATTAACGGCTAATTGAACCCATTATTGTTCATATTTGTTTCACGCTTTATTACGTGGCAAAACATAAACTGAGCAAAGTTGTACATTGCGCGTGGTAACAAAGCGTTTATATTTTTAAATCTAAAGAGCATATAGGGTGAGGAACAGATTTATCAAAGGCGCGGCGGCTTTTAACTTTAAGTAACACATATATCACATTTCTTGCTTATTACGTAAAATACGCAAATATATTTGTATACGTGTCAAAAGTAATGAATTTCTGTAGAGAATATTTGGCAACACTGAAACACTCCTGCAATATTTCTTAATAAAAATTGTAAAATAATATTCTTATCATAATTTAAGAGCCTTCGGAGCCTAAGATACCTTAGATCTTAGGCTCTGAACCTTTATAAATACAAAATTAAGTAGCATAAAATAAATTTCACAAAAAAAACGAGGTTGAAGAAAATTTGCATTCATGGTTTCGGCATGAGGGGGACAATGTAATATCTTATAATAGAGAGTATTATTTTACAATTTTTATTAAGAAATATTGCAGGAGTGTTTCAGTGTTGCCAAATATTCTCCATATTTTTTCACAATTTAAAAAAAATTAAAATCTTAATAACTCTTAATAAATATTTTAATAAATACATGCCTCAGTGTTAATTTTTAACTGGTATCATGAGATATATGAGATCATTATTGTCCGTTTGTATTCCCATCGTTCTGTTGTATTGTACACTTTTTAAATCTTTCAATTGAACTTCCTATTGTTGATCTTGTTGCATACTACATTGCACCACTCATGTGTGCAACAATAATAATCACAAAAGAATTCCTGCTTATCTGAGTTTTTTACATTAAAATAAAAAAAAATTTGATAGACTGCATGATACTAATAATTAAAAGAAAAAATAAAATAATATCAGTTAAAGATTAAAGCCTGAAAAAATTCTACCTGTAAAGTAAAATATATCTTTCGCAATTTTTCTAGAAGCACAAATCCTTTATTCTATAAAAAAAATCGAGTTATTTATTACTGGAGAATAAAATAAAATAAGTAAAAAATAAAGTATTATTACATATTTGTATATCTGAAACGCAATTAGTGAATTTCTTTTCTTTTTCAAATTGCTTATCATTCAAAAACTATTCATGTATCTTTTATGTCAAACTTCCATGAAATTAAACTTATTTCTCAATATATATTTTTTTTTTCAGTAACAAATATTATCTCATATATCGTGTTGCTGAAAAGTAGGTACCTTATTTTCTATGGAAATAAAAAACCTAAAAAATTCCTAACAATCGAATAACTTTCTTGTTTGTTTGCTTTTATTTGTTCGCTTTTTCTTTTTCCATCTTTAGTTCAATAAAATCAGAAACGTGAAAGTCTTTTCTCAGAATTTTTCTGGACATGTAAATCTTTTGCTCGAAGGAAAGTTGAGCTATTTATTACGAAATTCTCATTGAAAACGTCTATGACGTGGGGATAATAAAATATAAACGTAAACGTACCGCACAATTTTTATGGACGTATATTAGCAATAAAATGTCTCTCGTTTAGACTAAAAATCCTGTTAAAATAAAGTCTACATAAAACTAAAATAATTAAAAAATAAAGTATTACATATTCAAAGCGCAATTTATTAAATTCTTCTTTTTTCTTTTCCACACGAAATGCATGATGAATTCATTCGTCACACAATATCTTACAAGAACATTGGAATAATAATTTAGGAAGTATTATTAAATATATTATTCAATATTTTGTACATATTTATTTATGAATAAATAAGTAATACTGTTTTAATTTTTTTCTTAGAAAATACATCAACACTCTGATCAGAATAAGTCAATTTCAATACGCCCCCAAATAAAAAAGGATATGACAAATGTAGAACTTTTCCTCATAACATATATTTCAAACCATAATAGCTGGCTAAGACGACATACAATATAAAAAGAACACGTGTATCAACTGATCCGGGAAAGTTGTTATAAAACACTCCTTATTACTTAACAATTCAATCCAAAATATTATATGGCTTTTGCTTCATTAATAATTTTCACACAATATCTAAGGAAAATTTGAGTCACAGAGGATCGATCTTCCTTTGTAATGCGTTAAAGAATAATTTATGAACGGTTTCCTTTTACTGCACAATTCTGTTATCTGTATTAGTTATCTGTGTTACTTTTTGAAATTTTTCTTCCTTTCGTGACATTATTTTTCCCAGGGAATTTGCTTGTGATCTGCAAAATTAATCTCATTTTCGACTATCTGCTTTTTGTTACAAACGGATTAACATAAAAAACGAGGCAATATTATGACCGACAGTGGCTGAGAAGCTCATGATGTTTCATAAATAATATATTTCTTTAAAAATATTTCCTTTAATCTTTTCATTAAAAAAAATATTGCGTTAAATTATGTGGATTAATTAATGCGGTTTATAAGATCATTATTCATTCTGATAAACATTCTGACATTCAGGGTTGGGTAGTGTCTAGTTAAAAAGATAAAAGTTAAGTTGAAAAGTTAAATAATTTTAACTTAACTTAGTTACATTTTAAACCTTAACTTTTAACTTAATTTAGTTACATTTCATCGGTAACTATTAACTTTCTTGAAGTTAGCCATGCCATAAATAAAGGCGTCGCGGAAGGCCGCGCGCCTGCCTACAAGTAACTATACATTATATAAGACCTCGATTCTCGAACTCGTGCGAATTTGTTCGCATACGAAACGGGCCATATTCTGTGTAATGTGACTGGTTGTATACTTCTAGACTGAAGAATTCCGACCACAATCACAAAGATTCAATCACAAAAATCAGAATGGCCCGTTTCGTATGCGAACAAAATATGTATATAGAGTATGTCTCTAAATAAAGTGTATATTTGTTATTTCCGTTATTTGTAAGACTGAGAAACCCTAAAATCATGAAATAAAACAAATTTTACTTTTAACTTTTCAATTATTTTTTTTTTTATTTACTTAACATTTTATACAATTAATTTCATTATAGGTTAACTTGTATCTTAATTAAGTTAAATTTTTAAAGCCGTTAACTTTAACTTGACTTAGTTAAAAAAAAAAAAAAAGATAACTTACCCAACCCCCTGCTGATATTTCATATATTATTTAAACTTTTCAATTCTATTGCTCATATTGTTGTTCCTATTGTACACACATTCTGAAATTGAATTAAGATTTTTTTTGTTATGATTATGATCTCAGAACCGAGAAAACGTCTAAATTATTTGCCAAGATAAGATAAAAACGAGGAAATAATAAAAAGCAATAATACGGAAACAGGAGGAGATAAGATCAGTATCTCATATAAGGCTCCTAATCTCTCGCATTACAATGACATTGAATTATAATAGAATTTTGATGTCGGAAGCAAATAAATCATATCAACTTTTTTTTATATTACATATCAAGATAAATTAATTTTTTCACAAGCTTCTTCTTTCAAGAAAGATCAAAAGCAATCAAAGTTTTCTTGAAAATTATGGAAAGATTGACTTCAAGTTGGCATAACCAAATACACCATCGAAAAATAATGAGATACGCGCGAGAAATATTCTGTATAACACGATCAAATTGAAAATTGCGATGTAATTTTCAAAAAGCATCCATAAACCATAAAAGCTATTTCACGATATGCAAGTAGAATGAAGATTTATTTTGATCAATTCGCAATCAATAAAAGCAAAAAATAATGGCAGAGAATAGGATTCAGTTTCCCGTGACATAACAATTTAAACAATTTAATTTACTCATATAACCGCGGTACATTTTACAATTGACAGAAGGGGTGAGAATCTCTCACAATAATTTCTACAAATGTGCGTAACACGAAGAAAATTAATTAAACTTGCTTAATTTTAATCTGTTTGTAAAATCTGTTTTGTAAAATTACAAATTATTATAAATTATTTATAATTTTATAAATAATAAAATTCAGCGGACATATTTTGTGATAATTTGTGTATTCATTGTTTAGATAAAAAAAAGTATATAGCTTTTAAAAAAGTTATTCATAGATGACTATACTATATTTGGAATAAAATAATATTAAAAAATCATTGTTTATAAAAAAATATTGTGAGTTCTTAGGAAAATATGGCAATGTCAGTAGTTTGCAAATTAATAAAGCCGTTTTTTTTTCAAAAATAAAAGAAAGAAATCAATTTCTTTAAGATTTTCAGAAAACATCGACTTATTGGCGTTATTCCCTGTTCAAAAACTTTAGAAGTTGTCAAGAAAATTAAAACTTCAGCAGTTATTCAGACGATTCTTGAAATCTGCGCTCGCAAAATTTACGGAAAGTCGCACAAAAGTTTAATAAAATAAATACGCCAACTTCCGGTAGCTCCGATCAGCTTGTGGGGACACGAAGCACTTAGTTTTTTACGAATTAAGCTTGTTCCCCTAATATTTGTTCTTGCGCGTGACTGAAAAGGGATTTTTGATAAATTATCTTCTTATAAGTGACAGAAATGATTGTCGCGTCTGAATACTAACGGTGATCGCAAATGAAAAATTCTTGGCGCGAGAGTGTACACATTAAATTTTCGTAACGCTTGAATAAACGTAATAAATTTTTTGAAAACCTTTTACTTTTTTTTCTCACAAAGGAAAGAGGCGTGAAAGTATATTGTCGTGTTTTTCCGTCTTTTATTTAACGGATTTAGCAGAAATTTCACGTATCCACGTGCAAAAAAGATCTCAAGGTAACTGAAGGAGACTGCGAAAGAAGCGGCTTTTATACTCTCCCGAAATCTTATTATAAGTTTTGTCAGCCGATAACTTTTTGTGCGAACTTGTAGATTAATAGAATAGAATATTTATGTTTAACTCTGAACTTCTTTAAAACGTGTTATGTTAAAAAAAATAATACAAAATTGTTAACAATTTTTAATATTGTATCAAATATTTTTTCGAATGTTTTAATAAATTTATTTCGAATTCTAATGCTAGTCATAAATCATTTGAAATTCGTAAAGTTTAAGATTTAAGATAGATTGTTACTGAGAAAAAACGAAACATGGACCAAAATATTTGATATAACCGTTTAGAATTTAAATAATTAATGCATCGAACACTACAATTTCAACTCTCATTAGCTCTTATTGCCATTAAATCGACCTTAAATAAGAATTGCAAAAATATTTCAAAGTCTATAGGTTTATTCATTAAAATTCATTAAAAGCTAATGTGACTCACAATAATACAGTTGTTTTAGCGCAATAAATTTTTATTTTTTTTTTAATATCGTACAGGGATTTGCACTTAGAATCATTTTCAAGTTTATTGTATAAAAGTTACATTGTCTAAAAATTTAATCGTAAAATTGATGAAAAATAATCCTGAAACCAGGAACGTCTCTGTATTTTGTCAAAAAGAATAAAAATTTATTGCGCTAAAACAATTGTTAGCCTTTATATATTTACAAAAATCAGAAGACTTCAACAAAATCATTTGCTTTATTTTGCAGTTCTGCCACTTATCGTCTATTCTTTTGCTTCTAATTAATTTTTTAACTGAATTTGAATATTTTCTCAATAATAAAAACTGTAATTTCAGATGGAATATTGTGTATGCGAAACAACGAACCTTCATTGATTTCAAGATGCTAAACTTCATAAAATATGCAATTCAAAGTAAACAATTTACGCATCGCTATTGGGAAGATGAATATGATATTAGAGAAAATAAATGTAGAAGAAAATATTATGGTAAAAATTATAATATTGATGATATACAGACTGAGAAAATTTCCGCGACACAACATGCATACAACGTGTTAAATTTTACAATTCCTAATACAACAATGGTTTACTCCTCGATGCTCGAGGAGTCCACGGAAATAATCAACGAATCGACGACGCAAAATGCCAGCATATCATATCAAAGCGTCAATAGCATGCTGTACTTGTACGTAACGCCGGCATTAATTTTATTCTGCGTTATTTCAATCCTCGTTAATATTAATGTCATCATAAGCGCATTTTGGATAAAACGTCCGCTCAGTCCAACATTACACATCAGTTTGAGCCTATCAGGTACAGTAATAGCATTCTTTCTCTATATATATTTGCTTTTTAAAATTGTCAAAGTCATAAATGTATCAAAATTTTAGTTTGTCCTATAAAAAGTTTTCCTAAATTATTATACTAATCGTTTAACATTTTCTCAAATTCAATATAAAATCTTGTCTATAAAAAATTATAATAGAAAATAATTTTCAACAAACAAAAATTATTTCCTACATGCGCTATGCACATGTTTTAGTTACAACTCACAATCAGTGCATAGAAAAATACGATCTCTATATTACATTCATAGGCGCAGATGCTTTTACCAGCTGTGCTTTGGGCATAGGACTAGTTATGAATAGTTTCATACCTCACGGCCTTGAAATCGAATTGGAAGGTAAAAGATTCTATACATTCTACTATGTGTGTGTGTGTGTGAATTATCATAATAATTCAAGGTTAAATTGAAAAATATACAGCTCCTTATAATAGCTGTATTGAATTATGATATTAAAAGAAAGTATGTGATTTTTTTCCTGCAATATAAACTTATGTTGAAATAATTTAGTTTTCTATTTAATGCCATCATTCGTGTTCGATAATTAATGTTAATAAAACAACATAATTTTTTTCATTACTGCTTATAGGCATGAACTGCTTTTTACTGGCACTTGAAGCTGTGAGATTGGGAGGCGTGATAATTACTGTGTTTCACTTGATGGTCCTAGCTATCAATCATTACTTGGGCATTCTCAAACCTCTCCACTATCTTTCAATTATGACACACAGGTAATACTAGTTACTTCTTTGTCAAAAAGGAAGAGTTGAACGACAACATTTCTATTTTTTCTTTAAGAAATATCACGATTTTATTGGTTCTGCTTTGGGTGCTACCAATCTCTTTCTTCGTGCTCTACTTTAGTTTAATTGAAGACGATGGTTTCCAGTCTGAAGAATGCAAGAAAAATATGTAAGCATAATACTGCTCAGTATTGTATAAACATTTCTTGCATTTTCTTTTCTTCTATTTATAGAAACTTCTTTTAGTTTAGATTTTAAAAGATATAAAAAAGTTTTAAAAAAAGATAGAAAAGATTAAATATCAACATTATATATCTTGATAACAAAAATACTAAAAACTCTGCTAATTATAAGATAAATTTCATCTAAAAATTAAATAAAAAATAAAGCTTCATTAAACAATTGCATGTAAAATTATAAACTATTTATATTTTGATAGATTTCTAAATATTCTGCATATTTGCATAAGGAAATAAACTGACTTGATGAAACATTCTGTTTTCAGGTTTTTAGTCCACAGGCAGTTTCGAATATTGTTTAGCAGTCTCTTTTTCGGGCCCTTTGTCGTGATGACTTGCATTTACATCCACATTTTCTATATAGTAAAGAGACATCAAGCGATGAGACTACGCTTTTGCGGAGCAGAATCTTTCATTCGTGTGAATACTTCAGAAGTAACACGTAACAATAATAGGCGAATGGCACGGAATATTAAAGCTATCAATACAACGTTATATATACTTGGTAAAACAGAAAATGTTGCACCTAAATTTACATTACATAATCCTGAATCTTAACGTTCGCAATTTCTAAGGAAGCTTCATAATCGGTTGGATGCCCGGAGTGATAATGTTTATGCTGTTCTGCGAGGACTGCGTATGGCAATTGAAAAATGTGATATCGATGAATATCGCATTCATTATCTACACCATAATCAACTTTCTCATCATTCTGAAGACTTTGGTTAATCCTATTATTTATGCTGCTCGAATGCACGAAATTAAGGTAATAATTCGAGAAAAAAAAAAAACTGACCTAAATAATAAAGATTTTTAATACTTCGAAATCGCTTTTCAAAACTCAGCATAAGCAGAAATTTAATTTCTAAAGCAAGAACAGCATTTAAATCTAATTAATTGAATTATCATAAATTAAACAATATCGCGTGCGTCGCTAAGAGCTCGCGCACCAAATTTTCCTGGCTTATTCAAGTTTGAAATTTAAGGCAAGTGTATTTGTTTCAGATTGCCAAGAGACGAATGTGCGACGCTTTGTGCAAATGCCCGACGCTCATCAACTTTAATAACTTAGGAATCAGCATGATATACAGCAGCGAGAGCAGGAACTCACAAACGAGGAATGGCACTAGTCCATTATCGCACAATATGAGCGTTCGAAGAGCGCGAAATGGAAGCACTTATATTTGCGTGAATTATAATGCACAAGAATATGGCAATACAATCGTGTAAACCGCGCGATACACGAGAGACACGTTGCAAAAATATTTTCCCGTATATTTAATCCGTTGTCTAAATAAGAGTACAAAGTTATAAGCGCGAAATAATGGCTAAATAAGAGTACAAAGTTATAAGCGCGAAATCATGGCTTCAACAATATTTTAAACAAGTGTTATTTTAGTGTACTGAAAGTCATATTATTTCATATTCTTTTTCTCTTCTTTTGTTTCAAAATGTAATTGTAACGATTATTCCAAGTGAATACATTGTTGCAGTCATTTTCGTATTCGTGTACATTTTTGTAAAAATTGTATGTGATTTGTAGTAGATTTTTTTTGTCGAGGCCACAATGTATAGATACGATTGCAATGCGCATCTCAATATTTTTAATCCTGCTAACATGTTTGTTTGCTATGTTCAAAGTTAAATTGATCTACTGTGTAGTATTTCGTTTTTTAAATTTCTTACATTACTCGCTTATAATTGGTACTTCAAAGAAAATTAAGTTTATATTTTTTTTTTTACATTTTATAAATAGATGTTTAAAAAAATTGATGAAGAAAATGATAAAATTTAATAGTTCAGAGTCGACAGATGCAAAGTTATTGCATTTGGAAAATGAAAATTACTCAAAATGTACCAGAAATATCAGGGTTAAATTGTGCATATATCTTGAATGACCAGATTCGGATTTCCAAATTTATATAGAATATTTATTATAGTATGACTTACCTACCATCCACGGCGTCGATGATTTCCGCTAAAATGCCGATTTCTTTGAACAGTCTTTTCATTCTATTACGTCTCTCCGGTCTTCTCAGCAGATTAATCATGTAGATGTGATCTAAACCCAAGGTATCCTTCTGCGGATATGTCACGAATTCCATCAGATTGTCTGATAACGGCAAATAGTCGCTAAATGCTGCACAAACAATATGCAAATACGTATATCAATCAACATCCTTGTTAAATATGACAATATTGTATATCGTTCTTAATTGTCACCCGAATATTATATTCCAAACGAAGAATGCAAGCAAAGAAATTCTATTTAGTACGACAAACAATCAATTAAATTAAATTAAATTAAATTGATTATATTTTATTTATTTAGCTAATTATTTATTAAATTTATACCGTGATTTTATGAAACAAAAGCTTACCCAATATTTCTGCCTTCGTATTAGTCAACCGTTGCATATCTTCCGCGATAGTTTCCTTATTCTCCAATGGCACCATAACGAAGCCATAGGCCTCATCGTTGCACACATGTAATGGCACACCTACAAGTACAATACTATATGTTGAAAAAAAAATCTTTCGCAAAGTTGTAAAAATAATCAAATTTTTTCATAGAATTAAGTCAAGTTAATGAAATGATTAAAAGCACATTAGGTAGTTCTGTGTCACTGTACATAAAAAAAAAGCCAAAAATTTCCAAGACTCAATAATCGATAGGCGATAAATTTTATCACTTATAGATAATTTTAAATATCCAATAGTTTAATATAAATTATATAAATAACAATTTTTTTAACCTGTACCTGATTTATTTGCTCCTACAGCAAAAGTTATGATATCGTCCACAGGTCCATCGTATGCAATTAGTTTCTCAGACTTATAGCTCAGACGATCAGAGTCATATCGTCGTAAATCGATGAGAACTGCACTATGAACCATAGGCACATTGTGACATCCGATTTTCTCACGGTACAAAATCGGCTCGTAGAGATCCGTTCGCAAGTAATAATGCTCCGCTGTCATCCCGGCCCAAAAATTGCTGTACATACCATCCGATCTCAGCAAGGGTGATACAATGGTCTGTTCCTTAAGGACTAAGTTGCGCAGAGTACTCGAATTGGTCAAGAAAACATCAGCATCCAGCATCTGCAAGAAAATTTTTTCAATTAATGTTTAATCAATTATAAATATGTCAAATAAAAGCGATACATTAGAATATGAGTGCGTATTCGAACAATTTAATTTGTAAATTTACAAATTTTTATATTATTGAAGTAAAATTTTATAATACCTTTAGAAAATATGTAAATGTAAAGCGTAAAAAGATCTAAATGTAATATAAAAGTAATGTAATATATGTGCAAAACAAAACAGAAAATAAATTGATTTGATGAATAACAGTGAGTTAAGAACAAAAGTATTTTGTCTAGAAAATATGTCAAATTGTTGAAACATTATCTTATTAGTAAAAAAGCATTTCTTTAGCCGCAGTTAACTTGAAATTAAATTGTTCATATCTTCTTGATGTATGTTCTTGAGAAAATGAGAAAATGTTCACGAATCAAGTATTCTTGAGAGTAATAATTCATTTTCTTCATTATGTTATTACAAATATAAAGTCAACTTACCAAAATAAAGTCCGCCCATATTTCTCGTGCGTAATTGAGCGCTTCTTCACGTAAATTTATTACATGCGCGAATCTGTGAGGGGACCAATCTGCATACGTCCGTTCGTCTTCAAATCCCGTCGTCGTTGTATTCAAGTAAATATTCAAATAATGATACTTTTCGCCTTCAGAATCAATCCATTTATTTAAAATTTTTATGGAATTGTCGATATTGTTGTCGCTGCGTATCCTGAAATATGAATCCATAAAGAATTAGGAACAATACTTTTTTTGCATTATATAAGTACTTATTTAAGAATAAAAAGTCATAAAATAAAAAAAAATAAACGCAATATTTACAAAATTATCGTTTTTTATAACAATAAATACGTCAAGTAAATCCGAGCAGAATTAGTGCTAAGTTTTGTGCTCTCTTGTCACGTGACGTACATTATAATAATCGCATGCGCACCTGTGTTGCAATACGTTTGTAGATCGACCGATCACGGTTATCTTCTTTGTAAAATGCGATATGTAAGTGCATTTCCGAACGCTCTGCACAAACAGCGGGCAACTTCAAATTTCTAAATAAATTTAAAATCCATAGCGGGCAAATCAAAATGAATGTTAATGATAGAAAAATATAATAGAGGAATTATTTCAGGTTTTTTAACTAAATTTTCTTTTGTTTATAACACATAATTATTAGCAATCAGTTCTCTCTCTGTATTCGATAATTATGATATCAAATAAGGGTAATTATGCAGAATACCCACGTCACCTCCGATTTTGACCCAACTGGTCTCATTCGATTGCGTTTTTCCTTTTAAAAAAACTTTTTCCTTTCACTAAATTGTCGCTCTGTCCCAGGAGACGAGATATTAAGCATTAAGTTGACGACTTTTCAGGTTAAAAACCTGTCACTTTGACGAATTATAGCGATGTGAGCATACGCTGCGGTCAGGCGCGCATGCGATGTAACAGAATTGTGCGCGAAGTATAAAATATATTTCCGATAATCATTAATTGCAAGTCGCAAACCCATATAAAATAGTATAATTATGGACCTTGCTTTGCGTAGACACAGAGTATTCCACCCCCCGCAGGGGGAGCGGACCCCCTGTGTAAAATAAAAATAATAAAACTTTCGTGCGTATTCCAGAGCGGCATTAGCAGCTTTAGCATAGCTAGTT